GCCGTGGTGGTGGGGGTACCTCTAGAGGCTTCTCAGGGAAGACACCTTGCTCCTCCCAGCACCTCCTGGGGTCCCTGGCTCAGCCACTTCCTTCCCTTGGAGATTGGCCCCGTGCATGGCACCCGCTAACCATGCTCCCTTCCCTCCCCTGGGGCGGGGGAAGGTGTGTCTCCCCTCCAGTGGTCTTTGGCGAGCACACGCTGCTGGTGACTGTGTCGGGACAGAGGGTGTTTGTGGTGAAGAGGCAGAACCGAGGCCGGGAGCCCATTGACGTCTGAGCCTGCCCGAGGGTGAGGGTCAGAGCAGTGGATATGGGGCCGGGGGCCTCGGACGAGGAAGACAGACACGTCGTCCGCCTCTCTTGGCTTGCTGCTAGAACTAAGGTCTTCTGCTCACCCGCCGTCCCACCCCTGTGGAAAGGCAGAGGCTTGGAGACTGCTGTGTTTCAGAGAATGGAGGCAAGGGGACCTCTGTCGTCCTTCCCTCCCTCCCAATAAACTTGCGTCTGATGTTCCTGGGCTCGGGGATGTGTGTCCTGGGGGGAGAAATGGCAGGGCGGGGGGTCTTCCACACAAGCCCGGGTGGGTGGGCCGGGCACAGGCTGGGAATCAGAGAATGTGGCGGGGCAGGGAGCTCTGTGCAGGCACGGAGAGGGGAAGCCCCCTGCAGCCCTGCGGTCTCTGCGCCTTCCAGCAACACAGACAGCCATTCTTCTCCCTCCGGGACAGGCATTTAATAGGCTTACTTCAGGTGGAAGCAGGAGTCGGAGAATAAGTTACAGGACGGACCAAAAAAAAAAAAACCCCAAAAAAACACAACAAACCACAACTTAAAGTGCTTCAGGCTGGCTGCCACCGTAAACACGAGGGGCAGGAGGAGGCCTCCTCGCTGTCTCCCCAGCCCCTGAGACAGGAGGGTCATTGTCGGGGTCCCTTTACCATCACCACCCTCTAATCTCAGCCCTGCGGGTGGGAGGGAGGGAACGAACACAAGAATGAGGAGAACACTTTGTAAACGTAGACCCAGGGTAAAGGGCAGGGGGCAAGGGAGCTCCTGGGGCCCTCGCCCTGGCCTAGGGGTGGGGCCAGCCCCCCCCACCACGGGAACCGGGGCAATACTGTTGGCTTCACGCTGTGGCCACACCAGCCCAGTTCCTGCTTCTGCCCTCAGCCCTCCTCAGCAGACACAGACAGGCTGCCCTCCGGGGCCTCCTCGCCCACAGCGGGAGGCAGAGCCTGCGAGCCAGGACCGCTCCAGGGCTGTGGGCTTCCGGAGTGTGCGTGGGAGCAGCGCCGCGTGGTGCTACTTGACCGGCTCCACCACCAGGACCTTGCACTCGCGCTTGGCAATCTTGTCCAGAGAAAGCACAGCCTTGTCCGGGGGCAGGTAGAGCGGGCGGCCGACAGGGGAGGCCACTGGGGGCGTGATGGCCCTGCGCTCCATCACGCTGCCCGACCTGGGAGAGGGCAGAGAGAGGCCGTGGGCTGCGCTCAGAGCCGCGCCGCGCCCCGCCCCCTGCTCGGCCCACCCCGGTGCCGTACCTCATGAGGTGGCTGCGGGAAGGCTGTTGGTGGGAGAAGGACTGCGAGCGGCCCAGGCTTGCCTGGTGTCTCTCCACCAAGTCCCGGACGGCAGGGCTGCTGGGGCTGCTCTTGCGGGAGAGCGGCCGGGCCTCAGGCGGAGGGTGGGACACGCTGGCCGTGAACTGCAGCTTCAATTTCATGTGCTGGCTCAGCTGGGGTGGGGGGGCGGGGGGCGCAGGTCAGCTCGGCAGCACAGCCTCCGGGCCTGGACCCCTTTCATGACCTTCGGGTCTCCACGCCACCTCTGCTCGGCTCGCTAGGGCTGCCCGTTTACCTTTCCCCACCCCACCATTCCACAGCACCCAGCCCACCTCGAAGAGCCCTGTCCTCAGGGCCTGGAAGGCCACGCTGAAGGTGAGGGCGCTGCCCTTGCGGGAGAAGCCGAGGTTGTTGAGGGGCGTGTGGCAGACGATGGAGTCCAGGGCTGCCTGCATGGCGCGGCGCTCCTCCTCACACAGCTGCTTCCCTAGGGGCAGAGAACAGGGGCCGGTCAGCCCTGGACAGCGCACCTCAGTCCCTAGCGCCATCAGCGCCCAGTCTCACTGGGTCCCCGAAGTTATCCTGTGCAGTAAACTGGAAAAAAAAAAGTTATGTTTTGCTGCCATTCATAGATAACATGCATTAACTATCCATGACATGTTATCTGTTCTACTTCAGAGATGAGCACGGAGGCCCAGAGAGGTTTAGTAACTTACTCTAGGTCACAGAGCTAGCAAATGAGAGCAAGAGCTCACACCAGACAGCGAAGCTCCTGTGTCTCCGCACTTCAAGTCACTCAGCCCCACTGCCTCGCTAACCCTCCCTCTGTGACACTGGGCAGACCACTTGGGTACACAGTCCGAGCCAGCTGCCGCGAGGCAGGCGCCGTGGTGGGGCTGGCTCACCTCCATGGCTCCTTCCGTCCCCTCCCCTCAAGGGGCACGGCCCCAGCCTGGCAGCTGACCCACCGGCCTGTGCGTGCTCTGGGGTCCACACAAGCCTCACAGCAAGGAAGTCTTGCAGGTTGTTGAGCAGTGTGTAGGTGACGGTGAAACGCTCGTAGGTCCGAACAGGGGACTCACAAGAAGCAGTCATCACAAAGCAGGGACGGTCCAGACGGACACTGGGCAGGCTAGGAGCGGGGAGAGAGGGAAGCTGGTGTGTGTGAAGCAGCGGAGGCGAGTGCGGCGGTGTCTGGCGGGGACCCTGCACACTCACCGGTAGTGGGTATAGATGCTCTGGGTGAAGGGCAGCTTCGGGGTCGACCACTGAACCACAGCAATCAGGGGCACCTCGAGGCCCTGCGGAAGGGAGAGGGAGACTCCACGTGTCTCACCGTCCCCTCCCACTCTTATCAAGCCCCCCCTCTTGGCTTCCCACTTCCATTTTTCACTTCTTTTTCCCTGGACACACCAGGCCCTTAGGCTCACCTCCTTGGCCCCTGGAGGGGGCTGCTCACCCCCCCTCAGCTGGAACAGGAAGTTGTGTTCCTCCAGGGCACTCAGCGGGCAGGGGAAGCAGCCAGAGGTGCTGGGGAGCCGGCAGAAGGAGCCCATGGAGACTTCCCCCGACTGGTGGCTAGTGCAGAGGAGAGGGGGACAGGGCGTGATCTCCCCACGCCAGAGCTCCGCTCCTGCCTCCTCCCCCACCCCTGGACCTCACCAGACGTTGTCCACCAGCAGCACGGAGCCGTCGGGCATGACAGGTAGATAGCTGGCGTTGAAGTTGGGGAGGATTCGGATGTCCCAGATGGAGATCTCCTCCTGGGAGGAGCTGTTCAGCACTGTGGGGCGGGACCCGCTCCGCTCAGGGTGGCGGGCCCCTCGGCCCCCCCACCCCATTTACCCAGAAGAAGAAAAGGACCCCGTCCCCACCTGCCTGCCCCAAATGACCGCCACCCAAGACTGGAGCTGGCCCATCTGCTCACCCTTGAGCACGGTCAAGTGTTTTCCAGCCACAGTGAACTGCCGGCATCTCAGAACGGGAGGGGGCAGCAGAGTCAGCAGGGTGCTCACTGCAGGAGAGGGCGAGGCAGGAATGGGTGTGGGCACAGACTCCCCTCCCACCCACAGCTCTCACTCCCTTCCCCGCCATGGGGCACGGCAGCATCACCCCTCCACTGTCCCCACGAGACCCCAGACTCTAGCCTTTTCCCTCTGCACCCCCCCCCCCCACACACACCTTGGGCCTTGAAAGCGCTCTGCTCTCCCCGGAAGGTCTCCCCCGGAGACCGGGTCTGCAGCAGGCGCAGGTAGCCTTGGTCTCTGACCTCCGGGGCCTCAACCTCCCGCTTCCACACGGTCACTACAATCTGGAAGCAGGAGACACACGACTCCAGGCGAGAGGCAGACTGATGGCAGAGCCGTGGACGGTGTCTGAGTTGGGGCAACAGCTCCACCCCTTGTCGATCTTACCTTGGCCTTGGGCGTCCCTGGGGGCAGTCTATCCAGTGAAACAGTGAGTGGGAAGATGACCTCATCTGTGGACACGATTGGTTCTTCCACAGGCAGCTGGGGTTGGGAAAGGGGAGAAGAGGTCAGGGGAGAGTCAAAGTCGCAGCCTGCGGCGGTCCCTTTAAGGGCTGCTCAGCAAGCCCACCCCTCTCCAGCCTCCCGCCTCCCACCGCCCCGCAAACACACACCGTGTCCACCTCCCTTCCCGTCTTTGCCGCCCAGCAAACCGCCCCTCCGCCCGTGCCGCGTCACCCCAAGCTCCTCACCGTGGTCGCTCCCCCTGAGGTAGCAGGGCCGGGGCCGTGAGTGAGAAGGGGGCTGCAGCCTCGGAACAAGCCCCCACCTCCCGGGTCCCCTCCCCCTGGGGGCTCGGGGTCGGGGTCGCCGGCGCCACCGCCCCCCGGCACCCCGCCTCCGGCGCTGACCGAGGCCAGGGCGGCCAGGGCGGTTGCCAGTTCTGCCCAGGCCCCTCGGGAGCCCAAGCCCGAGCCGCCGCCGGACCCCGCACCGCTCCGGCAGCGCAGCACCAGCAGGAAGCGGACCGTCTCCCCCAGGTACAGGTGATTGCGCCGGGGCAGCAGCCGGTACCGGCCCGGGTCTCCCGCCAGCTCCGCGCGCGGCGGCAGCGGCACGGCCGGGAAGTACATCGAGTAGTCGCACTGGGACTCCATGGGGCGGCGAGGACGGCGGCGGCGTCCGGGGCCAGCCGGGGCGGCCCAGCAGAGCAGCCCGGCCCGGGATCGCGGGCAGCGACCCGGAACCGCGACCCGGCGACGCCGGAATGGGAGCGCGGGGCCGAATGACTGGAGAGAAACCGGAAGCGGAAGGGAAGGGGCGTGGCCTCCGCGGCCCGGGGTCCGTGGGCTGCGGCGAGGAGAGGGTCCGGGTGGATTTGTCTGGTAGAAAGACGGTGAAGAGAATTCCTCCCAACCCAGCTTCTCCCAAGATGCTCCTTCCCTCCCCTGTCCGCCCTGCATAAATGAAGTGGCAGTTCCAAGTCATTTATTCATTCAACAAACGTTTGGCAGTGAAAGGAACATACAGTTCAGTAACAAAATACTTCGTACAGAAATGGACTTCTCTTTCCGACTCAACATGCCCCACACTTTCTCTGGCTCACTCCATCTTTTGCTCCTCCCGGGGCGGGGGGTGGGGGGACTTTGGAGAGCACCACACGGACCTGCCTTGGGGCTGGGAAGGGGAAGGGGAGGGGAGCCCAGCTGCGGGCTGTCCAGGGGCAAAGGCCTGCGGGCATCCGGACAAAGTCCCGTGGTCCCTTCGGAGGGAAGCAGAAACCGCCTCTGACTGCCCCCTCAGCTGCCCTTCTACGCTGTGCCCTTCCTACGCTGTCGTCTATGGCTGATGCCTGTGGGGAGAGCAGCCATGATGCCTTCAGGGATGGCTGATGCCTATGGGGAGAGCAGCCGCGATGCCTTGAGGGGCGCGGAGACTGTCGGGGGGAACTGCTTGGCATCCAGCTTGTCCTTGTACTGTAGCTCGGGGGTGGCCAGGCGTTCACACTCCTCCCGGTCGTGAGGGCTCAGTCCGCTCCGAAGTCTGTAGCCTAAAACTTTAGCTGATCCGAACTGGAAGGGGCGGAAGCGACGGTCAGAGATGTATTTGGGGTCTAAAGCCTCACCCCCTTCCAGGCAATGTTTAGCCAGGGCCTCCCGGCGAGCCCTGAGCTTGGCCACAGCACTCTCCAGCCGGCTCTGGCCATACTGCTCTATCCGGGCCCACAGACTGCGGTTGAAGTGGACGTAGAGAGCCCAGTCCAGGTTGTTCCAGGCTCGGGCCCGAGCGGTCAGCTGCCGATCCTCAGGAGTGAGTCCACTGTTGCCGACGGCGTTGTGTCCCTGCTCACCGCCAGCCTGGGCGTTGTGCACAAACCCCACCACGTCGTCCAGGCCCCAGCACAGGGCATCTGCCAGCAGAACCAATGACTCATCAAAGTACTCGGCCACCATGACCAGGTCAAAGACGGAGTCCAGCCAAGCCAGACCCCACTGGATGAAGGACGAGGACCCCAGATCTAAAGAGGCAGGGCTGCCTGTCTGACCGTGGCCATCAGCAACAGTGGAAACAGGTTGGACGACAGCATTGGAGTCTATGGTTTGGGCTCGAGGGCCAGTGGCAGAAGGCAAGATGTGTGTCCCCGGGGCATTGGGGTCCCTGGGGGGATGAGGATTCCCTCTCTTGGGCCTCATCTCTGGGGGGAAGGGGAGGCCAAAGTCAAACCACAGTAAGTTGCGGGCGTAGTGGTCCCCACGGGCCCCAGACCGGTAGAAGGCTCGAGGACTGGCCAAGAAGGCAGCCAAGGATGGTGCCTTGCGGAAGGCCGATGAGGTGGATTTATAGTAGGAAAAAGCAGAGCGGGCCAGAGCCGCTGGGTCTCGGACAATGGAAAAGAAGAAGCTGTCCGAAGGCATGACCTGAAGGACCTGCAGAGGACACAAAACAGATAAGAGAGAAGGAGCTGAGCCTGGAGAGGGTAAAAGTAAGCCAAGGACGTGGGATCCCCAGCCTCCTCACCACCCTGCCGAGAACCCCCAGCTTCCTTCATTTCCTGCCCGCCCTCAGTCTTATCTGGAAAATGGGGATAATCACATACCCGCAGGTGGGTACCAGGGCTATTGGAGGGATAAAGGATATGAAGGCACCTGGAACAAGCTCCTGAGGAACATGATTTTCTTTGGGCTTTTCCACTTTGCCAACTTTTGCCAACAGTGTTAGTGAGTGCCTGCCTGGAAACTTTTGGTTGGGGCTTCAAGAAAGGAACTGGGGTGGGGGGGCTGTCACAGGCAATAAAAAGTAAGGGGGGCCGGCGCTGTGGCTCAACAGGCTAATCCTCCACTTTGCGGCGCCGGCACACCGGGTTCTAGTCCCAGTCGGGGCGCTGGATTCTGTCCCGGTTGCCCCTCTTCCAGGCCAGCTCTCTGCTGTGGCCAGGGAGTGCAGTGGAGGATGGCCCAAGTGCTTGGGCCCTGCACCCCATGGGAGACCAGGAGAAGCACCTGGCTCCTGCCATCGGATCAGCGTGGTGTGCCGGCCATAGTGCGCCGGCCGCGGTGGCCATTGGAGGGTGAACCAACGGCAAAGGAAGACCTTTCTCTCTGTCTCTCTCTCTCACTGTCCACTCTGCCTGTTAAAAAAAAAAAAAACAACAGTAAGGGGGAAGAGTCCTGAGTCCTGGTGGGTGTAGCCATCAGGTAGGCAGGCCAGGCCAAGGATGGCTGCAGGACAAGGCACTTTTGAGGCTCCCAGAGCATGGTGGAGAGTGAGATATCCCCCCGCAATGGAACACGGGGGAGTCATGGCTCCTTGGTAGGGTGCTGCCTCAAGAACTGCAAGACGTGATTCCACTTCTCAGCAAGACAGTGGGCATCAGGCTGAGCCACACCTTAACATGGCCCTCTAGACTGATCCATGTCAGAACCTATCTCCTGACTCCTCCAAGGGTTTCTGCATGTGAAAATGGCTTTTATCCTTGAATCTGATGTCTCCCTGTCAGGAGAGAAAAGATGTTCTCCCAACGTGTCCCATTAACGTGGACACGTCTAAAGGGCAGAGCCTGTGAACTGTCTCTTTGAAGACTGAGAGTAACAGTGAGGTGAGGAGAACAGTCAGTCTTTGGCGATCAGATGGACTTGTACAATCCCAATTCTGCCGTGTGCTAATTGTAGGCCTTTGGGCGGGTTGTTGAGCTTCCCAGAGCCTTTACTCCCCCATTGGTAAATCCAGGTTAACACTTACCTGGGAGAACATGGACATACCTGGAACATGGTGGGTGCTCAATGAGTGGTGGTCATGACAAAGGTCATTCATTATTCCAGCCACTAGAGAAACCTACCGCAAAGTCCTGGCCTTGCTCCCAACGGTGGCTCCTCAGCTGCCGTCTCCAGCTTCAACAGGGTGTCTTTGCAGCCCCTGCTAGAGTTCTGCCACCTGCACACACTTTTCCTCTTACACACGTGTGCACACCCACACACATGCACACACAATCTTTTGCTTGTGCTCTTGCTCCTTCTAGAATGCCTCACCTTCTCCTGCCTACAAAGCCTCATCCACCTTTACTTTTAAGACCCACCTTTCCAGAAGCCCCACGTCTTTTGGTGGAAACCCTCCCCACAATCCCAAACACAAACACACATGCACACCATGGGAGAAACTGTGACTTTGGAGAAAATGCACCTGGGTCCAATTCCAGTTCTGCTACCTTCAGTTAGCGGAGGTCATTTGTGTAATTAGAGATGCTTAGAATCTCTTCCTGGCAAGGTGTTGGCACTCAGAAAGGATTCCGTCAAGGCTAGCTCCTTCCCTGTATGCTTTTATTTGCCCATTGGTTTTTCCTCCTGCAGGTGCCTGCATGTGTCTGTGTGAGCACGAGTTCATGTGCTTGCCTCCCCCAAAGGAATGAGGCTCCAGTCGTGTCGCCAGCTTCAGCTGTGCTCACCCAGGGGTTGTCATACAGCTGAACTTCAGAATGCGGCAGGCACGGTGAGGAGAGGGAGAGGAAGACAGGAGGCAGCGAGAGAGCAGGTGCCCTGGTAGTGACACCACATAGAAGGGACACCAGCTGGCAGGAGAGTCAGGGCTGGGGTCTGAGTTGGCAGGGGATTGACACCAGAGAATAAGTTGGTCAAGGAAAGAGACAGAAAGGGAGAAGGGGAGAACTCTGGCTCCCCGAGACTCCTAGGGAAGGGGCATCGGAGGAGATTCCATCTCTGTGCCCTCATGTCCAGCTTGTGGGTGAAGCCTAGGACACCCCCTAGGCCAGCGTCCCCCTCCCCCAGTGCACCCCTCACCTCTTTCAGGTTGAACCTCATGTGGTGACAGAGGATGTGGAAGGGGGTCTGGGTGCCCACCCCGCCCTGGGGGCGGTAGCCTTTGACCCGAGAAGCCTGGAAAAGCCTTGGGTAGCCGAACTGGTAGCGGTCGGGGAGGGCAAAGCGCAGCCCGTGGCGGTCCCCATAGCGATGAAGCAGATTCAGCACAGAGCTGCTCCCGGATTTATGTGTCTTCAGGAACACGAGTCGCTGCCGGGGTGGGCAGGACGAAACAGCTGGCCGTGGGGATGGGGCCCAGGGCTGTCGGAGCTGCAGCCCAGGGAGCCTGGGAAGAGATGGGAGGAGAAACATCCGGGCTCTCAGCAGCAGGTGGATGTCACCGCTTGTGAAAAGGACGAGCGGGCATGGAGCCACTTCTGAGTCCCCAAGAGTCACAGCCCCAGGTGGAATGGGAAGGAGCAAGTGGGGGGACATCTACCAGGAGATGGGGACAAGAGGGGAACTCACCTCCTCTGGAAGGGGCCCCCCCAGAGCTGGAGGGCAAATCCAATGGTCATGAACACTCCCAGAGCCACCCCCAGGCTCCGAGGCCCCCAGAGCCTCATGGTCCTGGTGGCAGACAGAGGGCCCATGTGGCACAGGGAAGGGGGACCCTAGAGAGGGATAGAGCCAGCGCCAGGAGCAGAGGCAGAGACAGCCCGAGGCAGCCGTGCAGCCACAGAAGGCACCGTCGGGAGATCGGGGGCTCATTCCCCAGGCCTGCTCGCAGCGCTGGTGCAGTCTGCCCCCTGAGTTAGCAGATTTTTGCCTCTGTCAGCGTCTAGAAGGGAAATGAGGGGGAAGGAGGAGAGTCTCAGGAGAGGGGTAGTTCCTTCTCTCCTGCAGTAGCTGAGATCGGTCAGAGAGGGGACAGGGGAGATGCTCCTCTCTACCAGGTCCTTCCAGGAGATCCTCCAGCTGCTCTGTCTGCTGCCCCTTCTCCTCCCAAGTGCTCCCCACCCCGCCCCCACAGTTCTCTCAGAGTCTCAGAGATTTAGGAGAGGAGAAAGGCAGAGACCCTGATCGCAATTGCAACAGCCAGTGAGACAGATCAGACCAGTCAGCGCATGGAGACAGGTCAGGGCATGGTCCAGCCCCAGGGCTTCCTCCCGAGCCCCCACCCCCCCCCCCCCAAATGGGAAAGAAAAGCCTCCTCTAAGGCCAGCAGGGGAAGCCATCCCGAGGGAGTGCGGGTCAGGCAGGAGGAAGGAGGTTAGACCTCCAGCAGTGACGGAGGCATCTGCTTTCCCGCTCTCGCTCTCGGCACAGGGCAGACCCCAGCGTGGGAGAGGGGCTGGGGGAGATTTGGGGTTACTTAGGAAGCCCAGATCCCTGGACACACTTTCCAACCCCATCAGTGCACCTGGAGGAGGTTGAGAAGGTTCAGCTGAGGGGAGAGAGGGGGAGAGGAACTGAGACGGAGAGAGAGGAGGAGAAAGACACAAACACCACTCCGGAGCTGCTTCCCAATCCACAGAGAGTCTGGCTCCGCCCCTTCGGATTGCAACCCACAATCGCAGACCGCAGCCCCTCCAAGGAGCCCAGACATCCCCTCCTCCCAGACGAGCCAGAGGTGACCCCAGGAAAGGAAAACCCATCCTGCTACCCCGAGGTCCACCCCCTCTGGCATCAGCCCCAACTCTCTTCACCAGTGCAGCCTTTGGGATCCAGCCGCGACTCCCCTATTCTGAATTCCTCAGGTCCTCCTAATCCATCTCTGTCTTTTCCCGGACCCCCACCCCCACCCTCTGTGCCCTCCAGCTTTGGTAATTACTCAGTCTCCAGCCTTTTGTGGGTCCCCTCTGGGGTTCCATGAACACTTCCAGTCTCCTCCTGCAAATCCGAGCGTCCGTCCACCGGCCCCCAGCCCCGGCTTCACATGCCCACTCACCAAGCCGCAAAGGGAGCAGCAGGGGAATCGGGTCGGGCCTGCCCGCCCGCCCCAGCCACCGCCCGGCTCCTCGCGCAGCTCAACTTTCCCCACAAACTTTCTCAGCACCCAGGCTCCTCCCCTCCCCTCCCTTTGTCCCGCCAGCCAGTCCAGGCAGCCGCTTTGCTTTGATAGCCTCCCCAGCCTCTCCCTCCCTGGATCTTTCTGACAGCGCACCCAGCCCGCCCTTGCAAGACACCACTTCCCTCCTCCTTTCACTCTTAGGAATCAATTCTTTCTCTCGCCTTTCTGCAGAACAAAGGATTCTTTCAGGTGTGTGTGTGTGTGTGTGAGAGAGAGAGAGAGAGAGGAAGAGAGAGACATTGTCAGGGACCTGACAAAGTGTCCTGACCCTGAAAACGAGGTCAGAGGTGTGGTAACGGAATTTCCTGCTGTTCACAGGTGACTTTGCAGGTGCCGGAGGGGCTTCCTCACACAGTTCCGACTTGGTCCCCACACTGCTCCCCATTTGACGGATGAAGATGCTCAGGTCCAGAGGGGGGAGTCCCTTGGGGGCATCCTCAGGCCTGCTCCCGGGAGCCAGGCTGAGAGAGGCGCGGAGACAGCAGACCCAGCGCCGAGGTGGGCCTCGGCGAGACGAAGGCACACAAAGCCACACATGGGGTCCACGAAGTATCATTTATTTGCAGAACAAACACTGATTCAAACACTGAAACGTGGAATGAGGGGCTTGTGCAGATGTCAGCAGCAGCAGCCACGAGACAAGCCCTATATCTGTACTTCAGTTAAAGAAACGGGTGCTGAAAACAACTCCGTGGAACGCAAGCCCGTACACCCTCATCTCCTACTCACATCTCCCAGTCCCTGCCCTGTGCCCAGTCAGCACCCACCTTCCTCCCTTCCTGACACCAAGGGCCCCAGCCCAAAACCCCACCCCTCCCCCACTTCCAACTTCCTTAAAACCCCATCCCCCAACTGCAACTCTAAAACCCCCGTTTCTCCCCGTAGAGGTTGATCTTAAGCCCCAGCCTTAGAGGGCTGGAGAGCACACCTCCTTCCTAAATAAATACCCCGGCTCCCACCCCCCACCCGTTACCAAATGAAAAAATAAATATTGTCAACACCCACCCACCCCCAACCCCCCAGCGGGAATCTCCTGCATCTGGGGCCCCAGCCGTTCACCTGCAAGGTCTCACCTCCACCCTCTCTGCAACCCCTTCGAGTCCTCCCCAGATCTGGCTGAGCCAAGAGAAGGGGAGAAGGCGCCAACGCTTCCAATGCTAGGGCACCCCTGCCCTGTTACCGTGGCCCCAGCAGGGCCAGGGCTGAGGGGAAGAGGATGAGGGCTGGCTGGGGGCGGAAAACAACAGACGTCCCCCCACTCCTGCTCCTGCCCTGGTTGTAGCGGGAGCTGCCTCCTCTACTCCCCGGGCCCTCTCTTCGAGGAGGGAGAAGAGGCCGGCCAAGCGGGGTCAGGGTTTCCGCCCCCGCCTTCCAGTCATCTGCATACTGCTGTCCCCCACCAGAGCCGCTGGCATCCTCATCTGCAGGGAAACACGGAGACACAGACATCGGGTGGACCGATGGGAAGTGGGAAAGGGGCAGGCAGTGTGAGACAGCAAGGGGGGGACAGGGAGGGGCCCGACAGCACGGGGGTGGGGGTCAAAGGGTGGGGATTTGGCAGAGACAAAGACAGGGAGGGTGGATACACAGGGGAGGACCGAGAACACAACAGAAGAGAAAGGGGAAAATGAGCGCCCGTGCCGGCTTCTCTGGTAAATTCCACCCGGGGGAGTCAGCCGAGTGTCAGCGCGCCGGGCTTGCCCTCCTCCCGCAGGCTGCCAGCCCCCACTCTTTCCCGGCTGCTCTGATGCTTCTGTGTCCGTGAGACCCACTCACTTCCCTCTGCCCTTACCTTCAAGGTGAGCAGGTAAGCGCCCAGCACGCGCTTGTCGGATGCATGAGTGCTAACTTATCAGGCAAAGGAGGGAACCACGTGGCGAGGAGGGAGGGGCTCAAAGGCAGGGGGAGGGGCGCGGGAACTGGGGCGCCGGGTCTCACCGTCGTCGTGCCTGTCCAGGTCGTGCCCGAGCGCGGCCGCCTTCATCCGGGCTGTGGCTGCCCGGAGCTGCAGCCGCCGCCGCCGCGTCGGCAGGTCAGGACCCGAGGCATCCACCTCCAGCTCGGGGTTGTTGAGCTGCTCGGCGACGGAGCTCCCGACCACAGGTGGCAGATACCTGCGCGCACAGCAGCCCGGAAGGCTCCCGCCGGCCCGCGCGGCCCCGCCCGGTCCTCTCCAGCCCCGTCCGGACGCCCGGCTCTCACCGGCCCCGCCCAGTCCCGGTCCAGCAGGGTGCCGCCTCCTGAGAGATGTCCACTGCCATGCGGGAGTCCCCGCACACCGTCGTCGGCAGTCCAGTCCAGAAGCCCCGCGCCCGGCCCAGCCGTTCGCGGAACTCCCACACCTGGGCAAGCGGGAGAGCACGGTGGCGCGCGCCCTCCTGCTGCCCCCAACCCCACAGGCTTGCCCCGCCCATCCACCTGCAACCCCGTCCCAGACTGCCCCATCCAACCACCCGCCGCCCGGACCCCCGCAGGCTTGCCCCGCCCCCGCAGACTGCCCCGCCCATCCACCTGCCGCCCCGCCCCGCAGACTGCCCCGCCCATCCACCTGCAACCCAGTCCCAGACTGCCCATCCATCCACCTGCAACCCCTTTCTCGCACCTGCTACTCCGCCCAGGTCCCGCCCCCGCCCGCCGCTCACCAGGCGCTGCATGTTGGTGCCTGCTGCCGTCGTGGGCCGCTCCTCCTCCGCGCCCGGTCTCCATGGTCGGCCGACCTCTTCCCGAGGCGCTGGGGCTCGGCGGTGGCGGGTCGATATCGGGTGGGGGTTCCCACATTGCTGAAAAGCCTGCGGCACAGGCAAGAGTCCCCACACCCAAACCCATTGACGAAATCCCACAGGTACACAGCACTGTCACCTTCACATCCCCCACCATCCCCCACCCAGGCCTCCCCTCCAGGCCTCCCCTCCACCCTTCCCCTCCACGCTTCCCTCCCCTATACCTGGGTTCACACCCACACCGTCCCCCCACCCAGGCCTCCCCTCCTCCCTTCCCTTCCCCATACCTGGGCTCACACCGACACCATCCCCCACCCAGGCCTCCCCTCCACCCTTCCCTCTCCTATACCTGGGCTCATACCCACACCGTCCCCCCTCCCAGGCCTCCCCTCCACCCTTCCCCTCCACCCTTCCCTCTCCTATACCTGGGCTCATACCCACACCGTCCCCCCTCCCAGGCCTCCTCTCCACCCTTCCCTCCCCTATACCTGGGCTCACACCCACACCGTCCCCCCTCCCAGGCCTCCTCTCCACCCTTCCCTCCCTTATACCTGGGCTCACACCCACACCGTCCCCCACCCAGGCCTCTCCTCCTCCCTTCCCTCCCCTATACCTGGGCTCACACCCACACCGTCCCCCACCCAGGCCTCTCCTCCTCCCTTCCCTCCCCTATACCTGGGCTCACACCCACACCATCCCCCAACCCAGGTCTCCCCTCCACCCTTCCCTCCCCTATACCTGGGCTCACACCCACACCATCCCCCCTCCCAGGCCTCCTCTCCACCCTTCCCTCCCCTATACCTGGGCTCACACCCACACCATCCCCCACCAGGCCTCCCCTCCTCCCTTCCCTCCCCTATACCTGGGCTCACACCCACACCGTCCCCCCCCCAGGCCTCCCCTCCACGCTTTCCTCCCCTATACCTGGGCTCACACCCACACCGTCCCCCCACCCAGGCCTCCTCTCCACCCTTCCCTCCCTTATACCTGGGCTCACACCCACACCGTCCCACCCCAGGCCTCCCCTCCACCCTTCCCTCCCCTATACCTGGGCTCACACCCACACCTAGCCCCACCAGGCCTCCTCTCCACCCTTCCCTCCCCTATACCTGGGCTCACACCCACACCATCCCCCACCAGGCCTCCCCTCCTCCCTTCCCTCCCCTATACCTGGGCTCACACCCACACCATCCCCCACCAGGCCTCCTCTCCACCCTTCCCTCCCCTATACCTGGGCTCACACCCACACCTAGCCCCACCAGGCCTCCTCTCCACCCTTCCCTCCCCTGTACCTGGGCTCACACCCACACCATCCCCCCTCCCAGCCCTCCCCTCCACCCTTCCCTCCCCTATACCTGGGCTCACATCCACACCATCCCCCCACCCAGGTCTCCCCTCCACCCTTCCCTCCCCTATACCTGGGCTCACACCCACACCGTCCCCCCTCCCAGGCCTCCCCTCCTCCCTTCCCTCCCCCATACCTGGGCTCACACCCACATCGTCCCCCACCAGGCCTCCCCTCCTCCCTGCCCTCCCCTATACCTGGGCTCACACCCACACCATCCCCCACCAGGCCTCCTCTCCACCCTTCCCTCCCCTATACCTGGGCTCACACCCACACCGTCCCCCACCAGGCCTCCCCTCCTCCCTTCCCTCCCCTATACCTGGGCTCACACCCACACCATCCCCCACCCAGGCCTCCCCTCCACCCTTCCCTCCCCTATACCTGGGCTCACACCCACACCGTCCCCCCACCCAGGCCTCCTCTCCACCCTTCCCTCCCCTATACCTGGGCTCACACCCACACCATCCCCCCTCCCAGGCCTCCCCTCCACCCTTCCCTCCCCTATACCTGGGCTCACACCCACACCGTCCCCCACCCAGGCCTCCCCTCCACCCTTCCCTCCCCTATACCTGGGCTCACACCCACACCATCCCCCACCCAGGCCTCCCCTCCACCCTTCCCTCCCCTATACCTGGGCTCACACCCACACATCCCCCCTCCCAGGCCTCCCCTCCTCCCTTCCCTCCCCCATACCTGGGCTCACACCCACATCGTCCCCCACCAGGCCTCCCCTCCTCCCTGCCCTCCCCTATACCTGGGCTCACACCCACACCATCCCCCACCAGGCCTCCTCTCCACCCTTCCCTCCCCTATACCTGGGCTCACACCCACACCGTCCCCCACCCAGGCCTCTCCTCCACCCTTCCCTCCCCTATACCTGGGCTCACACCCACACCATCCCCCACCCAGGCCTCCCCTCCACCCTTCCCTCCCCTATACCTGGGCTCACACCCACACCGTCCCCCCACCCAGGCCTCCTCTCCACCCTTCCCTCCCCTATACCTGGGCTCACACCCACATCGTCCCCCACCAGGCCTCCCCTCCACCCTTCCCTCCCCTATACCTGGGCTCACACCCACACCATCCCCCACCAGGCCTCCCCTCCTCCCTTCCCTCCCCTATACCTGGGCTCACACCCACACCGTCCCCCACCAGGCCTCCCCTCCTCCCTTCCCTTCCCCATACCTGGGCTCACACCCACACCATCCCCCACCAGGCCTCCCCTCCTCCCTTCCCTCCCCTATACCTGGGCTCACACCCACACCATCCCCCACCAGGCCTCCTCTCCACCCTTCCCTCCCCTATACCTGGGCTCACACCCACACCATCCCCCACCAGGCCTCCTCTCCTCCCTTCCCTCCCCTATACCTGGGCTCACACCCACACCATCCCCCACAGGCCTCCCCTCCTCCCTTCCCTCCCCTATACCTGGGCTCACACCCACACCATCCCCCACCAGGCCTCCCCTCCTCCCTTCCCTCCCCTATACCTGGGCTCACACCCACACCATCCCCCACCAGGCCTCCCCTCCTCCCTTCCCTCCCCTATACCTGGGCTCACACCCACACCGTCCCCCCCCCAGGCCTCCCCTCCTCCCTTCCCTCCTCCTTACCTTTTCTGTCACCTTCACGCTGTTCTCCTGCAGATACATCAGACCTTCGGAGACCTTCACCCCAATGGACTCAGTTGCCAGCTCAAAGGAAAAAGGGCCCTGGAGCTTCTCGGCCAGGAGCAGGAGGCCATCTGGGAGGAGGGGGTGGAAGAGCAAAGCTGTGTGAGGGGTGTCGGGTAACTAATGTTCCTGCGGACCCCCACAGGGCCTTGGTGGCGTGTTGGGGGGCAGGTTCTCAGGAGCAAAGAGCCCTCCTCATGTTGTGGCTTTAGACCCCTCCCCAGCTCACCCCACCTCCTTGCAGAGAGAGCACCACTCCCAGCCCTCCTCAGTGCCCTGCTCCATCCCATCCCTCACCCAGGTAGTCCCCCCAGTCAGGCTCCAGTCCCCTGTTGCTGAGACAGCCGTGGACCACGTTGAGGCAGAAGCCCCTGCAGGGCAGAAGCGAGGGGACTCCCCGGCAAAGGGGGCAGCCGACCAGACGCATCAGAGCCTGGCTGCAGCTCTCGGACACCGGCACCTGGGGACAGAGAGCGGGGCTGTGTCATCTGCACACTGTGTGGCCGGGCACAGACAGACGCCGAATGCCCTGCGTCACCTTCCCCGGGCTCCGTGTGGACAGCTGGGTGTGAGGGACTAGGGCTCCCACCTGCCAGCAGGTAAGACCACAAGGGAGGCTCCCAGCGGCCAGGTCACAGGCACTGCTGATGGAAAGGTGTGGGGATGAGGGACGAGAGGGAGCCCCTCACGGCCAAGGAGGGAGGAGGCAGAAAGGAGACAGGAGATGAACTGAAGAGTCAGGGAGAGAGGTTGGGTGGTGGGGAGAGGCCAAGCCAGGAGTCCAGCCTCCGGCACAGGGGAGGAGGAGTCACTGGGAGGTCTTGGGGACACAGAGGAGCTGATATTCCAACCTCAGACTGCTACAGAGAGCAGTCCTTAGGGGACAGCAGGGTGTCTGAGTCATCAGAGGGCATGGAGGGTCAGAGGTGGCAGGTCATGGGTCATGATCCTGTAGAGCCAGGTCCAGGCACCAGCCCCCCTCCCACCGCCCAAACACACATCCTGATTTTCTCTGGGGCACCAGGCCAGGAGGCTGATACAGGCAGGCCCAGGCCTCTGCCGTCAGATGGTGCCAGTCTCTTTCTCACGGGGTCTCCCACACCTGCCTCTCCCTCCCTGGGCCATGCCCCCACCCAGGCCTCCTTCTAACCTTAAGTGCTTCTCTGACCACATTTCGTCCAGTCTCCAGGCCCTGGACAAAGGCCCGGGCAGCCACCAGGGAACGGGTTATCTAGGGGAGAGGAAAGAGGGTGAGAGAAACCACAGAGTTGTCAGGGGTCACTCCAGTCTCAGGCCAGAAGGCTTTACCAAGGGGGTGAGCAGCAGCGGCCATCAGGCGTGTGGGGTTGTCTGGGGGTGGGTAGCGAGTAGCAGGTGGAACAGAGAGGCAGACTCAAGAGACCCGCAGGAATCACAGCCCAGGAGGATAGAGGGGAATGGGGCTGGGGAAGACATAGAGGGACTGTGTTGTAGGGGGCTTGGAGGTCGAGAGACTGCAGCTCAGGACAAACACTGACCAGGGTGGGGGGCAGAGCTCTGCCACGCGTGGCTGAGAAACGTTAACCTCTAGCAGCCCTAGCGTTCTCCTGTGTACAGTAAAGGTACTACTATGTGCCTCTCAGAGTCATGACGACAGTTAACAGAGAAACTAAGTGGAAGTGCCTCTCAACACGCAAGGCCTGTTTCAGTTAGCCGAGGCACAGGAAGTCAAGATGTTAGGATTAAGGAGAGGAGGTGGCGGGAAGGTGGCTGGGGCCAGGAGCGGGTCAGTGTCGACGTGAAAGTAGGGTACAAAAGGGAAGTGAGGGGCGCCCTGTTAAAGTCAGGCGGAGGTGACTGAGGCTGCAGAGCCGGGGGGGGGGGTCACCAGGCCAGACATGGCTGAGTAGGGGAAACTCCAGAGCAGGGGTTGTTGGTTAGAGGTGAGTGGTGCACAGGTCGGAGGTGGCTGGAGCTCAGGCCTCGGGATCCCTCACCTGCAGGCGGAGGCGGCGGGGTGAATCCCCGAAGGGATGCAGAGAGCCATCAGTAGCTGAGGCCAGGCGTGTGAGGCAGAGCAGGAAGTCAGGGGAGAATCTGCGCTGGGGGTGCAGCAGGGGGAATGCTCTCTCCAGGAGCTGGGCCCAGAAATCCGCCAAGATGTCATCTAACCCCTCACCAGACTTTGCATAGTAGTCTCGCAGCTGAGAGAACAGGCCATTGAATATGGAGGCGTGCTGGGCATACAGGCGGCCGTAGGAGTGGGAGAAGAGCTGGGCCAGGGAGTGCTGGGATATTGAGAGCATCTCCTGAAAAAACTCTGCGGTAAATGCAGGGGACAGGGTGGGAGAAGGCCGACGACGGGTAGAGACGTGAAAGGGAGGCGGCAGGAGGGGATGGGGAGAGAAAAGACAAGGGAGTTAGAAACAGCGACTCAGAGACCGGGGCAGTCTGAGTGAGGGAGCACAGGGCACCAGAGAGACCCGGGGGATGGGGACGGCAGGGCTAAGCTGGGTTAGGAAGCATGCTGGGGTCAGAAGCACAGAGCACAGGTGAGAAGGGGGTTTGGGGACCCCAGGTCCTCACCATTAAATTTCCTGTGCCGGGCAGTCAGGGAGTGGACCAGGAAAGAGCCGCTACCCTCCACCAGGCCGCGGAAGGTGGCCTCCGTGTCCCTGATGAGCCTCTGCTCTGTCTCACTGGAACAGCAGGTGTACTCCTGGGGACAGACCCGGAGGTGCTCACCTGGACAGAGGAGACGTGGAGGAACAGCGGGATGTGACAATGTGAAATTCCTTCTGTCTCCCACCTTTCTCTGCGGGCTACGCCTTCTCTTCCACCTCTCTGGCCCGTTTTCTATTGTCTGCCCCCTCATCCCCACATGACCCTACCCCCTCCTTATCATCCCTTCACCCATTCCATGTCCACTTCTCATTAGCCATGGTTTGACAGCCATCCTGCGGGCCACAGCAGTGACCACAGTGTCCTCAGGTGACCCTCCCCACACCACACACCCCAGTCCCCAAGGGGCTTGGACAGCTTCTACAGGGTGAAGAATGGGGTTTGGAGGGGTGAGGTTATTTGGTGAGCAAGAAAGTATTCTCTTAGAAGGGGCTCACATAGTGAGGGGCATCTGGCTGTGAAGAAAGAAACAGACAAGGGGGTGCTAATGACCAGGAAGGGATTCCTGGGGTGAGGGTGGAGTAAGAGCTATTATATGAACAGGATGCTTATAGTGATCCTGGTAAAGAAGTTGCAGGAGGAGAGGTATTATTGTGGGATGGCAAGATTGTCTTAACGGTCACTCTGAAAGGGAAAAGAGTTATTGTGAGATGCGGAGGAGCCCCCCCTGCCCCCCACCCCCAATTCTCTAGTCTTCCTCTTTCTCCTCACCTGAGATCAGGGTGGAAGGGATTAGGTTTAAGCTATATCTCCGCGCCCCCAGCACCTGCCGGGTCTCTGCACAACTCCGGGTGACCTTTGCCTCGCTCCCGGGTCCGGGGCCAGGACCGGGACACAGAGGCAGCAGCAGAAGCAGAAGAAGTCGCAGCGCGGACATAGCTGCAGCCGCCCCGGGACGGCAAAGTGGGTCCTAAGGAGGAAAGAAGAGCCGCCCGAGCGCCACAAGCTGGGTCCCGGCTGCGGAACTGCTTCACCGGCCAGAGAAGGAGCGCGACCCCCGAAAACTCAACACTCAGCACGGTAGCCGGACCAGGCGGCATCGGCGGAGACAATGGGAGCCCGGAGCCGGACAGGGGGCGGGGCCCGAGGCGGGGCCGCGCCAATGACGGGAAGAAGCCGGCCTCGGGGGCGGGGTCAAGGGAGAAACGAAGCCAATGTGGTAGGAGAGCTCAGCCAGGGGGGCGGGACACGGACGCTCCGAGGAGGTTGGAGGAGTAGGGGCGTGGTCTTTCTTGGAGGCGTGGCGATTTGGCTCGAAAGGCGGAACCCTGGTGGAATCTAGCCTATGGTAGTTGAGAAGCCAAACCGAAGGGGCTACTACCAGTCCAGTCCGGCGGGGAGGGATTTTGGAGGGCGCGGCCTGGGCAGGGCGGGGCTAAAGCGAGCGGCCCGCGCTCTCGAGCCCACGTGACAGGGCGGAGCTCCTGAGGGCCAGTGGCAGCTCGACGCGGCCGCGGCGGCGTGACTGGAACGTGATAAGCACGAGCTCGCACGCTTGTCGGCCTCGCGACCATTACCAGCCCGGGGTGGGGGGAGGGGGCAACCGTTAGGTTTGCGCCTGCGCTCAGTGTGCCTCGCGCCTGCGCACAGTGTGCCTCGCGCCTTCCCGCGTTTTTCCAGACTCTTCGGCCATCGGAAGGGAGGCGGCGTGAGCCGCTGTGCCTGAGGTGGGGATTACCAAAGAGACCTGGGACGGTGACCTGTCGCCCACCCTGCCCAGCCAGAAGTCCCTCTGACGAATTCGGCCAGTGAGGTTCCTCTTTGGCCCCAGAACAGGCCCTCCCCCCACCGTCGGGTCCCTGAGACAGGAAGCCGCCCCCGGCCGGGCCTCAGTGGCCTCCGCCATGGAGGCCGTAAATCCGGCCCGCAGCCCCCTGAGAGAAGCGTAGCGCCCCCGCGTGAGCGGCTGGACGGCCCCTCCGCGGTCAGGCGTGACGTGGCTGTCCGTTCTGGAAAAACAGGGCGCGCGCCTCCCTTCCGCCCCCGTCTCCCCGCGTTTCCTACACCCCCAAATCGTTTAGCGCTTCGCGTTCTGCCCCACGTGAAGTCAAGTTCCGGCTTCCGTCGTTAACCGCGAGGCGAATTTTGTCGCCCCCGCAGCTGGGGGGGCGGGGCGTGTCTAATTCTCGATGCCGTGGGTGGGCGCTTAGTCTTGTTTGGGGGCAGCGTTCTCCTTTCCCCCAGGGCTGGGGTGGGCGCCACGCGCGGTGGGAGCTCCCGGGCCGTTTTCTCCCTGCAGGCGGCGCGCCATGCCCACTCTGCGGTCGTCCTCCTCCCCGCTGAGCACGGCCACGGGCGGCACCCACGCCTGGTCGTTTTCTCCCGGCTCCTCCACCCCCCAGCCCTGCGATGACAGAGACTCGGACCAGACCTCGCAGGGGTGAGTGGGTTGGGCGAAAAGTTGGTGGTGGGGCTCCCTGGTCTCCCTGAGCTGGGCCTGGCCATGAGAACTGCTGTGCTCTGCTGGGGGCGCCCCCAGCCCTGTGGGCTGTGTTGTGGGTGCCAAGAATAACCCGTCTTGCTCTGACGAGTTTCTAGGTACAACCTGTTAAGTGCGAGGACTGGGAGGTGAAGATAAGGAATTGAATCCCTCTAGTTGTTGCCAGCTGTATTGATGTGTTTTTTAGTTGATGGCCTGTCGTTCTCACTGGGGATTTTGTAAGTTGTTTCATCTGCCCTTTACTATAGATTATCATTGATTAGATGATTCTGTGACGGTTGTAATACTATGAGGGAGGCCTCGGAAAGCTCATGGAAACATGAGTCATGAAAAAAAAGTGTTAATTTGGAGGACCAACATAAACCTTTTTAATTTGAAAGGCAGAGTGTCAAGGAAAGACATTCCATCAGCTGGTTCACTCCCTAAAATGGTTAAGTGTGGGGCAGATAGAAGCCAGGAGCCAGAAACTCCGTCTGTGTCTCACGTGGGTGGTAGGCGCCCAAGCACTTGAGCCATCATCTGCCTTCCCAGGTTAGCAAGAAGCTGGATTGGAAGCGGAGCAGCCGCTGGGATTTAGGCTGGCAGTCAGATATAGGATGTCAGGCTGCAAGCAGGGCTTAACCTGTTGCACCACAGCGCTGGCTCCAAACATATTTTTTTTTAAGGATTTATTTGAGAGGTAGTTGTTTTTTTTTTTGTTTTTTTTTTTTTTGACAGAGTGGACAGTGTGAGAGAGACAGAGAGAAAGGTCTTCCTTTGTCGTTGGTTCACCCCCGCAATGGTGGCCGCTGCGGCTGGCGCACCGCGCTGATCCGAAGGCAGGAGCCAGGTGCTTCTCCTGGTCTCCCATGGGGTGCAGGGCCCAAGCACCTGGGCCATCCTCCACTGCACTCCCTGGTCACAGCAGAGAGCTGGCCTGGAAGAGGGGCAACCGGGACAGAATCCGGCGCCCCGACCAGGACTAGAACCCGGTGTGCCAGTGCCGCAAGGCGGAGGATTAGCCTAGTGAACCGTGGCGCCTGCCAAGAGGTAGTTTTAAAGACAGAGCGAGAGACAGAGATAGCGGGAGTTGTTTGATCTGCTGGGTCATTCCCCAAATAGCTGCAACAGCCGAAGCTGGGCCAATCCAAAGCCAGGAGCTTCTTCCGGTCTCCCATGTGAGTGCAGGGGCCCAAGGCCTTGGGGCATCTTCTGCTTTCCCAGGCCATTAGCAGGGAGCTGGATTGGAAGTGGAGCAGCCGGGACTCCAGCCAACATCCATGTGGGATGCCGGCTCTGCAAGCAGAAGCTTAATCTACTGTGCCACAGCACCGGTCTGCCCCCCACCCCCACCCCCCAAAAAAAACTTGTTTTTAAAATTGTTTCCTGTGAATTTTTTGAAGTACCCGTGTGTGTGTGTGTGTGTGTGTGTGTGTGTCAGAATCCTTCTGGGGAGGGATTAATACAAGGTCTGCTTTCGTCGCTGGTTTTTTTTTTTTTTTTTTGACAGGCAGAGTGGACAGTGAGAGAGAGAGACAGAAAGGTCTTCCTTTGCCGTTGGTTAACCCTCCAATGGCCGCCACAGTCGGCGCACCGCGCTGATCCGATGGCAGGAGCCAGGAGCCAGGTGCTTTTCCTGGTCTCCCATGGGGTGCAGGGCCCAAGCACCTGGGCCATCCTCCACTGCACTCCCTGGCCACAGCAGAGAGCTGGCCTGGAAGAGGGGCAACCAGGACAGAATCCGGCGCCCCGACCGGGACTAGAACCCGGTGTGCCGGCGCCGCTAGGCAGAGGATTAGCCTAGTGAGCCGCGGCGCCGGCCGCTGGTTATTTTTAATTGACCCTCTCTGAATCATTTCTGTTTCTGTCAGTGCTGCTGGTGTAGACCAGATTATATCAGTGTTGTACAACTTCACACTGATCAAAACCTGTGGTGGTATTTCAAAAGGTGAACTGTAATTCCTAGCACACATTAACCTCCTGTTTATGAGTGATACGTGACTTCCTGAGACTCACTGATTTTTCTCCACAAAAGCAGTGGTCTCTGCTTGTGAATATCACTTTTTTTTTTTTTTTTTTTTTTGACAGGCAGAGTGGACAGTGAGAGAGAGAGACAGAGAGAGAAAGGTCTTCCTTTGCCGCTGGTTCACCCTCCAATGGCCGCCGCTGCAGCCGGCGCACCGCGCTGATCCTGGCAGGAGCCAGGAGCCAGGTGCTTTTCCTGGTCTCCCATGGGGTGCAGGGCCCAAGCACCTGGGCCATCCTCCACTGCACTCCCTGGCCATAGCAGAGAGCTGGCCTGGAAGAGGGGCAACCGGGACAGAATCCGGCGCCCCAACCGGGACTAGAACCCGGTGTGCCGGCGCCGCAAGGTGGAGGATTAGCCTATTGAGCCACGGCGCCGGCGTGAATATCACTTTTAAAAAAGATTTATTTATTTGAACGTCAGAGAAGGAGAGACAGAGGTCTTCCATCTGCTGGTTCACTCTCCAATTGGCCGCAACAGCCGGAGCTGTGCCAATCCGAAGCCAGGAGCTTCCTCTGGGTCTCCCACGTGGGTACAGGGGCACAAGAACTTGGGCCATCTTGCAGGCGCCACGGCTCACTAGGCTAATCCTCCACCTGCAGCGCCAGCACCCGGCGTTCTAGTCCTGGTTGTGGCGCTGGTTCTGTCCCGGTTGCTCCTCTTCCAGTCTAGCTCTCTGCTGTGGCCCAGGAAGGCAGTGGAGGATGGCCCAAGTGCTTGGGCCCTGCACCTGCATGAGAGACCAGGAGGAAGCAGCTGGCTCCTGGCTTCAGATGGGCGCAACATGCCGGCCATAGTGGCCATTTGGGGGGTGAACCAACGGAAAAGGAAAACCTTTCCCTCTCTCTCTCTCCCTCTCACTAACTCTGCCTGTTAAAAAAAAAAAAATCACATTCCTTAAAAAAAAAAAAAAAGAACTTGGGTCATCTTCCATTGCTTTCCCATATCATAGCAGAGAGCTGGATTGAAGAGGAGCAGCTGGGGGCTCGAACCAGCGTCCATATGGGATGCTGGCACTGTAGGTGGCAGCTTTACTCGCTATGCCACAGCACCAGCCCCATGAATATAATTTTTTTTATAAAAATGTATTTGTTTATTTGAAAGGCAGAGTTACAGAAAGGCAGAGGCCTAGAGAGAGAGAGAGAGAATCTTCTATCTTTTGGTTCACTCCCCACATATGGCCCCAAAGGTCGGAGCTGGGCCCATCTGAAGCCAGGAGTTTCTTCTGGGTCTCTCATGTGGGTGCAGGGGCCCGAACACTTGGGCCATCTTCTGCTTTCCCAGGCCATAGCAGAGAGCTGGATCAGAAGTGAAACAACCATGTCCTGAACCGGCCTGGGTGCAGGCATGGCAGGCAGTGGCTTTACCCGCTGTGCCACAGCGCTGGTCCTGTGAGTTTCATTTGATTCTTGTATTCAGAGAGAATATTAGGAAAGGG